CTCGCATTGTGGCAGTGTGCAGGGCCCTGCACGCCGGGCTTTGACGCACTAGATCGCATCAGTGCTGTTGTGATAATAGCAGGAAGAGGCGAGCTGTTATCAGTTCGCTGGCTGCCTGCGTGACCTGAGCGGCCCACAGCCTGTTGTTTGACGCCGCCTGAACTTTAACTGTAGTCTGTGCGAGTATCACTTGTTGGCACTTGCGTGACTAGTGAGAGGGTGGAGTCACGGAAGAGTCGCCAGGAAGACTACAATAGAAACACTGCAGCAGCGTAACACACAACCCAGGTTGGCTGTTAACTGCTCCCAAAACCAGGGGCTCTCAACCACAGGGCCGCACAGCACAAGCAAACTAAAAAAGCAAACTGTGTTGGCCCTCGGGCCAGTACTAAGGGGGGCAGTACTGCATAGTGGGCCGGTGATAGCAAAAAATGACCTAACAGTAAATAGAAATATGGTAAAATGGTAAAGCTTCGTCAAACAAAATATCATTAGTGTAAAAAGTTTCATTAGTGTAGAAACAGCTTCATGGTGTAAAAATCGTGTTGTAAAAACATTCAACTTAATTTACCACCGTTCTTTTGACACTTTATGCTCACTAAAACATGTCACATATTGCAGGGGTAGGCCTGTAATTATAGCTGTGTTGACAATTTCCCCAAAAAAGAAATTATTAGGCAAAAATATTTTTGTTTTCCTGTGGGCCTTCTTGCTTTCTAGTGATAGATCAGTGCAACTTCAGGTGGAAAAGGTGGAGAACCCCAGATCTTAACCACTGTGGAAGTCCAGGCCTGCACTGTATCTGAGAACAGGCCTGTTTCTGGGTCAGGTTTTCATCTTGATTTAGTTCATATATTGACTTATGGAACCTGTTCCTAGATCATAACTCTTGATTCTGTACAAAGGCAGATTCCAGTCACCAGACTGAGGTGAAGCACTCTTAGAAGGAAAGGTGTCTAAATGGTTCTTGACTAATTGGTATGGAACCCTTTACATTAGGTACATGTCCTTTGGACTTCATAGAGGTTCTTGCACATTAAAAAAAAAAGAATCATTCATTGAAAGGTTCTTCAGGTAGCCAGAAGTGGTTCTTATATGGAATGTCACTAAAGAACCACCTTTACTTTTAATGGAGAGTTCCACTGACTTTGCAGAATGAAATGGTTAAGATGTAAGCAGAGTCATTCAGAGTGGTTTGATGTGAAATGCTTTGTTCTAATGGAACCTATACAGTGGTGGTGATAGGAACCAGACATCCAAAATATTTAATGGCTCTAAAAGTTATGGGGAATTCCACCAACTTTTAAAAATTCTGCATAATTAAATGGTTAAGATGTAAACAAAGTCATTCGGTAGTTTGATGTGAAATTCTAGAGAAACTTACTGAATTACAACTGTTTAGGGGTTTGGTGATAGAAACCATGCGTCTGAAGTTCTTTTAATGCTTTTAAAAGCTCCCTTACAAAAGATAGCTGTCTGATGCCTAAGACATAGTTTTACCATAGTTTTGAGATCAGATTTTGGCTTAAAACATTTTTTTATTCCTTCCTGGTGGAGAGACACATGCAGGACGTTCCAAGGCAAAGTAGTCGCCAAGAAAACATTTCAGATGTTCCACTATTTATTTTACTATCATCATTACATATACAATCTTGGTAGACACATGTAGGTTCACTGGTCTTTTTGAATAGTAAATAAAATGGCTGTATTTGTGTTGTGTATCTCAACCCCTGGTTCCTATCACCGTCACTATTTTGTTTAAATGGAATTCTCCTTTAAGAGTGTAGATTAACTTCATACTAATACAAAATCAGCACCAGTCCCATCATGTAGACATTCTAACCAGGAAACCAGGACTAGCACTTGCTGATAAGCAAGAGCAGGGGATCCTATCACTTTATCTACAGGCATATCAGACATGCCTCAATGCGGGTGATGAGATGAAGCTCGTCTGCTTGAGACAAAGCCTCGCCAACACTCATGACCCTCAGGTGCTTAGGAAAAAAAAGAACAAGTCAAACGGAAAGCTAGAAAGCAGGAGCACTGCTGAGTCTCCAAAGAAGCATTTCTAAAAGCTACAGGATAATGACTGTGATAGCGAGCTCCCTGCCATGCGTCCTATATTAAAATCTCTGCACCTTTTCACCTGTGTGGTCACTCTGCATGTGAATGGCAGGCCTAAATGGACTATTAAGGCCAATTGACTGCTGGACGCCACTGGAGACAGCGTGTCTGAGAACATGTCGGCTGCTCCTGCTCATACTTTTCATTTTTCATCGACATGACAAAACTTTGTTTTACAAATACCAGAGCAGTGCAGGGTTTCAAACGGCTGGGAATGGAAACCTACTGATTATGAAGCTTCAATCTTGTTCAAACTGATTTATCTCAAACAGGTAGAACTGTGGTGATCGTGGTGCTTTTCAAAGCTGACCAACTACTGGATTAAAATCAGTAAAACAGTATCCGAGGTTATTAGATCATAGGCATATTCCCTATGATCAACACTGATCCGTGACTTACGTGGTCATTTCACCAGAAAACTAATACTTAAGCTGTTAAGTAGGTTCATAATGGTAATTACAATCACAGTGTGAAGTATATTGAAATACTTCCACTTGCTTGCAGTCATTGCTGCCTCGGAAACACATTTTTAAAGGGCCCGTCTTGTGGAAAAATTGATTTTCCTCACTTTTCTGAAATAATAGTTTAATGTAGCATGCAAGCACATAACAAAAAATAAAAACATAGCATTCACTCCCAAGCACATATGTGGAAGATAGGCTGCAGACACAGCATGTTTTGAAGTTTTTCACAGTTTTTGTGATCTCATGAGCTCATTTACATACATCTGTCTATTCAGCCTACAGCAGTTTAGCCCCACATACTTCTACTAGTAGTTTATAAAGAGTGTTTCATCCCAGACTGCTTTTTGATCAAGGCGCCATACATGGCAGCCAGAACAGAGCTCATTTACATATATCAGTCTTAGAGGCACAGTAATAAAAATGCTCAACTCTAAGGGACAAAGAGAGTTTGGAAGCTGTAAGAATGAATGAGGACTGTTGTTAGTAAACCTCAAAGGGAAAAATTACAATATAGAATACAAGAAAAACGTACAGTATGGGCCCTTTAACCCCTTTAATGGGCAGGGCCCAAAATTTTATTACACATTTCTATAACCTAAGAATAGCTCAGCCAGTTTGCACTGAAGTCCCTGTAGTTACTGAATAATAAGCCTTAGTGTTTAAGTAAGTATTTTTAAGGGGTTAAACCTCAGAAAACCTCAGTTTCCTGCACACTGGGGTCTTTTATGAATGAAAATCACCAAATAATAAACCAGCAGCAGTTGCATGTTATGTTAAGCACCATTACTAAAAATAATATTAACAAACTAAAGCAAATCCTCAAAGGCTGTCAGAGAGCGCAGTTGTGAGGGGCGTGGCTAAATCAAACATCAAACGGCTACAGATCAAATAAAGCGCCAGTCTGGTGGCATTAAATATAAAATATTTCTTTTTTTCTGGATTTTTCCTCAGGTCACCGTTAGCTAGCTGCGACCATAAAGAGAAACAAAGAAGTTAAAAATCGTCCTAAACGGTTGAACCACCCGAGTCCGGATGTGTCACGCGTGCTGAACTGCACTGATGGTTCTGCTAATGTGTTTATTAGAGCATCACTTTAGACAGGATACAGCGCTGCTGAACACCCAGAGAGCCATCAGCTGATCATCTGGCTGGAGAAACTTCACACAAGACGCCCCCACCGAAACTCTTCTCACTGCTTAGGGTTTGGGGAGAAAGGCTTTACTGTCAGATAACTGCCATGTCCACTCTGAGAAAGCTTCGACTGCATGGAAGTTCACGTAATTACGCTGTAACAGGCCTACGCTGCATTATAATTCGTTATAAGCTATTTATAATTGGTGATTATTTGTTACTGAGGACATTATAGATATATCAGTCAAACCTGTGTGTTTGTTTGGGTTACACTTTATTTTGAGAGTCCACTGTAGATCCTTTGGCAAACATTCAACCAAGTATTGTTTACATACAAGCGAACTTTAAGCTGAGTGTGTCTGTAACTCTAAACCTGAGCCTGTTGATAATCAACTGCTTTTCAACAGATCATCTGTTAACAGTTTAAAGCATGTGTAGATTATCTACAGGGGACTCTGAAAATAAAAAAGTGACCGTTTGTTTATTTATTTGTACAACGCGCACACGCACGCGTCTCACGCATTCTCTCGTTTGTTTGTTTATTTATTTGAACGATTATGTTATATTATAGAGCACTTTCAATTACTTTTTAATCACTATTGTCATTATGTATGTTCTTAGGAGTGAGCTGTACACATACAAGAAATACCAGTGCCATATTATGATTAATACCACCTTTATTAGAGAAACAAGATATATTTTCCATCACACGTCAGCTGTTCTTTGAAAACAAATATCCAAAATAGTTAGAAATACAGCATCTTGGAATGAAACTCTTCGCTTATTTGGAGAGTTCTGCACCAGCCTACATTTCCCAGCATGACTAGTTTTTCGCATTACAAACTCGGCCATTAACAATGTCTCATTTGGCTCTTTCTGAAAAAAAAATAATTAATAATAATAATAATAGTAATAATAAGTGTCTGCTCTGACACTCAGACTCCGTAGCTCCATTTAAACTGTCCTGCTGGCTCCGGAGCGTTGCATGTAACCGGAGTGAGGTCCTCCTCCTGCTGCTGCTCCTCCTCCCCCCTCAGTCAGCCGCCCTGAAGCGCCGCTCCTCCTGTTTGTTTGCAGCCGTTCAGATCCGGAGCGGAAATTCCTTTCCGTTTTTGTGAATGACAAACTCATTAACAATTCATCGACGCGGCCTGTTCCATCCGGCCCCGTTGCCGAGGCGACCAGCGCTCGGCGCCCTCTCATTGGTCGGCGCGCGTAGAATGCGGCCATTGAAACGAAACGCCCCTCGCGCCCCGAGATCCATTCACACTCTCGCGCGCTAGAGAGCAAGAGGCGAGCGTTCGGCGTCCGTGTTCGAATTCGAGAACGCGAATCGAAGCAGAAACACAAACACGAACCCGAAGGACATAAACCTGCAGCTACAGACACACCTGCCGGTGCGGACGGTCAGCTCGACTCTCTCCGAGACCGGAGACGGCGTTATATAACGGGGAAGGCAACGTCAGCCTCTGTGGCTTCACTCACTGGCTGGCGCTCGAGCCATTGATAAACGCGCACGCATTCTCGGTGCGCTCGCATGAATGGACTGGAGCGGAGCGAGCGCGGGCTCGACTCCTTAACGAGAGAAAGGAGACGAACAGGGGGGAAAGAAGCGGAGTGAAACCCGTCCTCCATTTTTGAACGAGTCGACTGTTTTTGCGTGCTTTTTTTGTTTTTTAATGCTCGGGGCCTCGCGGATCCGTGAACGCCTCCCTCCCTCGCCTTCCACAGCGGTTTAAGGTTATACTGAAAGGAGGTACGCGGCGTCGGTCTCGTATCTGTCTTTGTTTTTCACCCTGATGCTCGATAAGTTCAGACCCGTTCAGCTCGATTCGGCGGCGATGGCGATCAGTAAGAGCGCGGAGTGGCTGAGGGAGCAGCTCGAGACGCGGCGCGACGGCTTGCTCGTGATGGACTGCCGAGCGCGGGAGCTCTACGAGTCGTCGCACGTCGAGACGGCCATCAACGTGGCCATCCCGAGCCTCATGCTCCGGCGGCTCAAGAAGGGCAACCTGCCCGTCAAGTCGCTGCTCTCCAGCGGGGAGGACCGCGAGAGGTTCGCGCGGAGGTGCAAGACGGACACGGTGGTCCTGTACGACGAGTACAGCAGGGACTGGAACGAAAACGTCGACGGCGGCTCCGTGCTTGGCTTGCTGCTGAGGAGGATGAAGGACGAGGGCTGCAGGGCTTTCTACCTCGAAGGTATGCCCGTGACTTCTGGCTCCAACGTTATTAGCCTTAATAGAAACATAAAAAAAACCGTATTCTGTACTGTTTTCCTCAAAGACTAGGCTGAAGTTGTCTTCTTGTTGGAATTTTTCCCGTTCCACCTTAACTGGTATCTTCTGCACAATATAACTGCCACACAGTTTGAGGTGGAACGGGAGAATTCGAATAAGAAGCTGTCTTTAGATCCGTTCTTTGTGGTAAAATCTCACCTTTTAGCTTAAACATTAGCCTTCGTGATAAAACATCTGTCCATTAAAGCTAATGTTCTTACCAAAACCATTTCACACACATGCTAAACCCTTAGCCTTGTTAAAAAACATTAGCCTTTTTTATAAAACCTTATGTTGTGAACATGTTCCAGCATTAGCCGTAGTGATAAAATCTTATGCTCTTGCCAAACCATTAGCCGTAGTGATAAAAGCTTATGTTGTGTTCATAAAAGCTTTCTTTTCCACTAAAACTCTTGTTATATTCTTTATAAAAGCCTTAGTAATGAATATCACATGTTCTAGTTTTGTTGATAAAATGCCACATTCCAGTTCAAACTTTATCCTTAGTGATAAATACTTCTGTTTTTATTTGTCTTTGGTGATAAAACTTGTGTTCTTAGCTTTAGTGTTCAAACCTTGTGTTGGGTTCTTGTTGAAGGCCTCAAGGAAACCTCCACTGTTAGACCTGACCTACAAAGGCATGTGAATGTACCATTTTCCCCTCTCTAAAACACACACTCAATGCTTTTCAAAAAATTTTTTCAGGTGGCTTCAGCAAATTCCAAGCCGAGTACCCTTCCCTGTGCGAGACGAACCTCGATGGCTCGTCCAGCAGCAGCTCCCCCACAGCTCAGGTACTGGGCCTGGGCGGCCTGCGGATCAGCTCTGACTCCTCTGACATCGAATCAGACATCGACCGTGACCCGAGCAGCGCCACCGACTCAGACGGAAGCCCCCTGTCCAACCCCCAGCCCTCTTTTCCTGTTGAGATCCTTCCGCACCTCTATCTGGGCTGTGCCAAGGACTCCACGAACTTGGACATCCTGGAAGAGTTTGGCATCAAGTACATCCTCAACGTTACCCCTAATCTCCCCAACATGTTCGAGAACGCTGGAGAATTTAAATACAAGCAGATCCCAATTTCTGATCACTGGAGTCAGAATCTTTCGCAGTTCTTCCCCGAGGCCATCAGCTTCATTGGTAAGCATCAGTCATAAATAATGTTATTATTGCCTGAATTTGTGTCCTGTCGTTGTGTTGATTTTAACAAATGACTGCAATTGCGTTTTACGTTTAAAGAGCGAAAGTTATTTCCATGCTCTTGTCAGCTGTAGTGCTTACACAGTTCAGACTTGACGTGGTCTGTGTCTCCATAACTACATGAATGGGTCAGAACTTAACCCAGAGCTGACACAAGGGTGCTCTAGTAACCCAGTGCACAAAGAGCATGGAAAAGCAGCTCTTTGTTTAAATTCTAACCAGGCAGGGTTTGAGTGGATGTCACTGTTCCTTTATATGTGCAGAGGAGTTTAGCCGAGTCTTGTGTAATTGTGGTACAAAGGCTTATGATGAAACGGGAGAAGAGGGAGGGGGGGCGTAATTTGAGCTCAACAGGAAGGAAGCGGCATTGAAAGTAATGTAGGACAGAGCAATGTTTCTCCACACAATGGGGCCCATTTACAGGCGAATGTTGACATCCTGCTAGCCATGACAGGGTGCCCCCATGACTTCTACATTTACACGCCCAAATGGTGCCATTGTCAAGTAACCTGGTGAGCGGAAGGATCATTTGATAGGCCATAATAGCCCATTTCCATGTCAGATTCCACAAAGAAAATGGAAGATTTGTTTTTACCCTGTCTGCTGTCATGCACCGGAGAGCTCGCTGAATGAGGGGGTTTTGTGTTTGAGCCGGGAGTCTAATGAATTCTGACACACAGCTCTCTTTCGGCAGCATGGCTAATGTAGTATTACACATTTATAAGGGCGCTTCGCCTCAGCCACGCAAGCTCGCAAATTGTATTATTTAGGGGAAACTGAGTTTGTGGCTTCTTGAGTTGTTTTCCTTGTCTTGTCAAATTGGTGAGGTATATTGAGGATTCGTTCTGCCAAATGCATTGCATATACCTGGAGGACAAAGTTTAATCCGCTCTCTCTCTCCCTCCTTCCTGTGCAGATGAGGCCCGAGGACAGAAGTGTGGCGTTCTGGTGCACTGTCTGGCCGGCATCAGCCGTTCGGTCACGGTAACGGTGGCCTACCTCATGCAGAAGCTCAACCTGTCCATGAACGACGCCTACGACATCGTCAAGATGAAGAAGTCCAACATCTCGCCCAACTTCAACTTCATGGGCCAGCTCCTGGACTTTGAGCGCACACTGGGCCTGCAGAGCCCCTGCGACAACCGCGCTTCGTCAGCCCCCTCACAGCCGCTCTACTTCACCACACCTACCAACCACAACGTCTTCCAGCTGGACCCGCTCGAGTCCACGTGAGAGCGGCTCCCTACGGCGCAACCCCTCCTGGCTGCAAAAGGTGTTCAAATGTTGAAACATGGGTTTCTCTTTTTTCGTCACCTGTCAGAGGGTTCCTGACGTTTTTGACACAGTTGGCTGGAGACGACAGCTGACGTGAGTAGCCACTGACGCGGCATCTGGTTTTGGCCGAGGCGGAAAGGCAGCTGCTGTAATTCTGGGACAAGAGACAGAGGGCAGACACCACAGCTCTGCTTCTCTCTGAGACTCTGTAAGGTAGTTCCTGTTTTATATCTTCGTATCCAAGCATGTGAAGACTGTCGAAGCAGACAGGACTTTTAATGTGGAACGTCACATACAATATGGCTGGCGTGCCAAAGAGACTTGACTGGAACTGGACAATTATATAGACTCTTTTCTAGCACTTGCACCTTCACGTTTTTTTGGGTGTGCTCTCCTTGTCTTCAGTGAAGACTTGCCTGTTTTGGGGATAAAAAACACCCTCGTTGATGATGGCACAGTATAGTGTACTCCAGTTTATTTGCGTGGAGTCATTTTTGAAACGTTTATACATGTGTATATTAAAGACGTTGGTAAGCCTTGCCCTAGCCACAGTATACCTGTTGCAAAAGAGCGGGTACTGATACTTTTTTTCCTTCCTTTCTCATCTATGTAAACAAACTGAATATTGATCAATATTATATATGAGTTAAATGCCAAAAATTGAATAGGTTTTGTGAGAACATAAATGTGTATATGTATAATATATTTCTTCTTCTACTTTTTTTGTTTTTTGTTTTTGCTTCATGGATGAATTCAGCCTTTATCAGCCTTTTCTTATGCACCCTTCCACACTCAGAAAGTCACCTTGTTCTCTTGCCTTAGGTCTTCTGTACATAGGAGTAATGTTGTGCATTAACCTCTCGGAGCAATCCCCCCCCCACCCCCCCATAAGCTTATCTGTCACCAGCTATCAGTTCTCCATAGGATCGAGCTATAACAAATGGCACATTCAGAAAGTATTGTTCAAAAACTTGTATCTGTATGTGTTCAAGGCATACCTTAAAACCAAGTTCGCGTGAATACGGATGCATGCTGTTGTTCAATCTCGAACCAGGACGCCTTGATAACGCTCTGTTTTCGTTTAATGTGGGGACGGTGGAAGGTTGACGCGAGTGACGCTTGTTTTTGTGCAACAGTTTGAGGTTTCTGAAATGTTGACAAGGCAGGAGACATTTACATGCCTCTCCTCTTCAGGGAAATTATGTGAAATGCAATTTAGTTGTCAGAGGAATGATTGAAATGGATTTTAAAGGGGACGCTGATTCCCTCAAAGCGAAGGCCTGTTCTGATGGAGGAGGGGCTACTTTTCACAGCCCCTCACTTCAACCCTACGAATGTAAAGAGATGATAAGTTATTAATAAATTGCTATTTTGTCTATTCAAACCTACCTACCTGTCTTTGTTTTCTTTCTGTCAAGTGAAAACAACAAAGTTTAAGCCAGGAATCAACCAACCGAATATGAGATTTCACTCAGTATTCCATTGCTGGATTTACTTTTAACTGGAAGATCAAAGCACGGAGAACATTCTCCCCCAGGTTTGAGAGTTCACACACACAGAGGTTTAACGTGAGCACATCCTGTCCTGAGGTCAAGGGTTTTTGAACAGGCTCTGTGGCAGCGCATAGCGGAGCAGCTGGTGTTTCAGAGCTGCCGGGTAACGGGGGCCGATCTCTCCCTCTCTGCTTCCTGTCTGGAGATCAGTGGCTCGGCCTCCGCAGGAAGCGAGCCGTGGAGAATCGAGCTGTAACCTGACTCTGTAACCTGGCTCTGGTGTCTGCTAGAGCCAGAGATAATCCCAGCGTAGGAGTGGGAAAAAACAGGAAGGGAAAATAGTCATTTCTCATGGATACTAAATATTCAAACTAGCGCTTGCTTATGATACTGACTCTGATCAAGCTGATAGATTGGAAAAGGTATTTAGTTATTTATATTTGTTCATTTATTTATCAGGGACAACATAAATCCACAAAACAGAGATACAGTAGTGGGCAAAAGTCAGACCATTCATTTATTCAATTACCAGTCACAATGGCCATTGAGTACAAGTTGGAAAAGCAGGAAATATAACAGAAAATGATACAGAAGCCTTAACAACTAAACATTACTTCATTTTTTCCTCCCTTTGCCTCTATTGAGGCTCCTATTCTTTCTGAGAGGCTTGCTTTGAGTTCAAATAAATCTGCTGGGTTATTTTTCCGCACCTCCAAAGATCAGCCTCGGAAGTAATCCCACATTCAGTGATACAGAGATCTGGACTAAGTAACTTGTATTTAATAGCTGCTTTGACTATTAGTTAAATGAATAAAGGGTGGTCCCTGACGCTCACACTACTACTACTGTATATGACAGGTATTCAATAGATATTTCGCTATGTTTTAATATACAGTAAACTGTTCCTTTAGGTTACTTTCAGATAGGTTAAAAGCCAGGAATCACAGTGTATTTAGTCAGTAACAACAATATACCGTTGTTGTGTTTTTGCTAATCCATATCTGAATAAAGTATACTTTACTGCAGCAACGGTGCTCAACATAATGACAGTATGTGGTGTAGTTTTGGGCAGTTTTGCCTGCTCTCCGCGCCTGGAGCTGCTGCTCCTGCAGGCCGCTGAGACCTGCAGGCAGTGAAAACAACCCCACAGCAGGTTGAGGCTATACTTGGTCTGTGTGTTAATCCTGTGTGAAGGGTTGCAATCCCCATCATCCTCCAGTGACAGCCTGCCCTGCCGAGGATTTGCTAGCACCCCTAGCAATTTCCGGTCTTGTGGCGGCTCGAGTTCCAGCACCCCAACACGAACGACACACACACATTTAAACATGCCAGTCGCTTCCACCCAGCCCTGCTAGCCAGCTGCACTCAGGCAGTGGTGCTGTAAGATGGTTCATGCTGAACTCGCTCAGGTTCTAGGCATTTTGGGCTAAATGAAAGGTCCTTGCCTGTACTTGACCCTATTGGTCATATAGCTGGGTAGTAGTTACATTATGTCATATAATTATATAGTCGTATAACTCTATAATCTGCTAAGGTGTTATTTTTCCTCTGTGACCCTTTGACCCTGTCTGCAGGCTCTGCATATTGCACACATCACACATTACATATCTTTCTCACTTCAGACAGGTTACTCTTTAAGCCCTTAGGCCGGCTTTACAGGGTGAAACTTTAATGTAACTTCCATTTGGGTTGCATAAAGTAAAGCATTGTGCAACTTACTTGAAACTCTGTTGCAAGAGTTGCAAACGCCTCAACTTCGTGGAACAAGTTTCATGAAATAGCCAAAATGCTGATAATGCATGATGTGATAACATCAAACGCCATCTTTTCAAATGATTGATATCACTGAGCCAGCGGATGAGCGAATAAAACAGAAGATGGTTACTGAACAGTTGAAAATGAAATCGTCCTGAACAATTTAGGTAAAGGCTTGTAGTTTTTTCATTTGGTCAGTTTCCTTAGCCATGACAACAAACAAAAGTGAGCTTCTTAAAGCTAACATTTCTATAACCAGCTGGCTAAACTCACCAGCTAACACTAACGGCTGTTTAAAAGGCTGGTGCCAGCATTTGTTCTTTTTTATCCTGCTGTTGTTGTGGTCTACATTGCTATATTATTCATCTTCTCCTCTCTTGACGGCCTCTAATTTTGCACAAAGCTGAGATTCTTTTGGGATCTAAATGATAAAAAAATTACAGAGGGTTGAGTCTGAGATGTGGTCCTCAATGAACATGTAATGCTTCTAGGACAGGATGAGCGAAACATCAAGAAACTGTAATGGCTACATAAGCATTCATTTCCGAAGGTTTAACATATACAAAGAAGTTTCAGAAGTCAAGCATATAGTAAAGAACCCGAAATAGAAAAAAGATACATAGATATAGAAAACTGCACTTACAGCTGAAAAATTATACGAAGATAATACAAATTTAAAATATGCAAATAACACCGCATGGATGATTTTACATAGCAAGACTAATCTGGTGTATTAAAAATATAAACTAGTGAAGTAACTAAATGTGCTGCATACAACTTTGCTTTGTGTATCTATCAAGTTGCATGGAAATTATATTGCATGCAATTGATAACTTGCAACTTGCTGCATGAAAGTTTCACTATGGAAAGAAAGGCCTTAAACTCTAAGTCTAACCTTAAGACTTATTATTCAGAAACTATGAATTCGCTACTATGACACTAATACTATAAATAAGTAAATAAACAAAATATTAGAGATGGGCGGTATTTATAAACTCAATATTGCAATATTTTTCAAATAGATCACAGTATCAAGTAGGACAAAGTTAACAAGCTCATGCTCTGTGGGTATTGGTACACTATGCTAAAAGAATGTCTTATCACAGTGTGTCATTACAGTAGTATACCGGTACAGAGAGTATATCACAGAGCCCTTTTACTGTTACCTATACTATTGCTATAAGTAACTGAAAGATTAATGTTCATGTAATATATTTTATTCACATGGAAACACTTGAATCAATTAAATTCAATCCATCCCTTTTTTCAGAGTTGAAACGTGGGCCCACATGCGGGCCGTTTGGGGTTAAGGGGTTTAAGGGGATGAAAGCTTGGCGTGATTGTTCTCGCTTTGTTACTGTAAAGGTGCAACGACTTCAAAGCAGCTGTATCTGCATGTGTTTTCCATGCTGCGATGTATCTGCTTCCTCATCTCTGCTGTTTTTCCCATAGCAGCCGGCTGGGCCAGACTAAACACGTTGGGGGCTCTTGAGGACAGGTGGAGCAGGCCTCTGTGCTGTCTCGCAAGCCAGACTTAACTATCATCAGTACATCTGGTATGTGACATTGTGGCCAAGAACTGCATACTTTGACAGGAAGAAGCCGTTTGGCTGACAAAGCAAAGTGATCAATCATAAGTCTGTTGTTTTAGCGTGACATGTAGTGCAGGCCACTGTCAAAATGGTGCTACAACAAAAACAGACCACATGAAACAAAATGGTGGGCCTGCTGGCAAACGCACAAGCTATCTTGTTTGCTTGCTACTATCTGCTTTAAAAAAAAACTTGTAAATAAAGGCTGATTTATATTTAATTAAGTATTAATTTACACTCCAAGATGCACATTAATGTACCTGTGTGATGCAGAGAAGCCATATTGAATGAGAACTTGTCCAAAATCAAAATGGAGCAGTTTGAGGATCAGCTGCTGAAAGACGTGCAACCTTGCAAAACCTATGCGACCCATCTTTACAATATTACAGAAACAGAGTGTTAGTTCTTGGTTTTCTGCACATGCTGGATCGGACAGTGCCCCATAGTGTACATGTATGTTGGCAGCCACTTACGCGAAAATATGACGCCCGTACATGTTTGCAGATACTCAGACAGAGGAGTACAAATCAGCCTTATCTCTTAGATTTGGGATGCTGTGAACTTTTCAGTTGACCAGTAGTATCTTGCACTGAAAGCTCATTGTTGTCAAAGGGCATAGAGCAGGTAGCTGCTTGCTGCTTGTGACTTGCTAGCATTTTGCTCGGTAAACGAAAGTTTTTTTCTCTCTGAACTGATTAAAAAGTACGCATGGCACTGTAGACCCCGTCAGAGTTTAACTGATAAAAATCCAACGCTTGTGAGTGTCTTAGTGTACAGTGTGGGTCTGTATCTCTTTGGGCCGAGCCTCTGAGGCTGAGACTGGGCTGAGTGTGTGGAGCAGACAGTGCAGTGTGTGGGGTGTAAACTGAGCTGAACGGCCGCAGGCTCGACTCCAAACCGCCCACCACACACATACAGCTTCCGCCAGTGTGGCAAAGAGAGCATTTTACCACCTCCTGCTCTCTCTCTCTCTCACACACACACACACACACACACTTACACTTTCTCTCTCTCTCCTTCTGTCACTTTATGTACGTGTCTCTTTCTTTCATTCACACTTTTGTGCCTCTCTCTCTCCCCTATTTCTCTCTATCCCCCTCTGTCCCTCACTCTCTCTCTCTCTCTCTCTCTCTCAAGGAGCAGAGACTCCTTAACAAGCTGACCTGCCTGAGAGGAATTAATCAGAAATCCCGCCACTGTTTTGCACAAAACACCACCCAGTCGTGCGCTGTATGGGTTTGTTTGTCTGTCTCTGTGTTTGTGTGTGTGTCTGTGATAGAGCTCCACTCATCAGCCTCTACCTACACACATGCTGGAATGCTGTAGCAGAGTGGACTGAATGGTGCAGAGCACAGTGAAGTGCTTTGTTTGGAGATCATGTTTGTAGTTTCATTTCTCTTGTGCTTTTCTCAGGCCTGAGCACTGGAGTCCAGCAGAACAGGCCCTGTTGTCTGGTCACTCACTCCTAAAGTTCACAGTCTAGACCAGTATGTTCCCACTTAGAGAAATGCCATGTGCAGGGAGCCTTATTTGAGCTGGATTCGTTTC